CAGTAAGGAAAATAGGAAACCAGAGGTACAGAAATCTACTGGTTTTAATAGATGTTATAGATGTGGGTTTACACATGACCCTAGTGAAGATAGGTGTCCTGCTGTTTCTGCTGTGTGCAAGAAATGTTCAAAGAAAGGCCACTTCGCAAGAATGTGCAAAAGTAAAAATAATTTTCTCAAGAGAACAGACGGTAATTTGAGAAAAGTAGATGATTCTTGTGATCAAACTTACGATGATGAGTGTAGTTCTAAAATTGATGTTAGCGGAACACAAATTAGGTCAGTTAAGAGTAAGGTTCCCAGAGCTACAATAGATGTAGAATTGAATGGGTATAATGTTAGAATGGAGTTTGATTCCGGGACTCGGGTAAGTGCTATAAGTTTGTCTCTTTGGGATAAGATCAATCCAAGTGGCGAATCTCTCAAAAAGACGTCTGATGTCATCACTGGCTACGGAAAAAATAAGCTGGAAGTCATGGGTAAGACTTTTGTGGACGTTACTTTACGTAATCGTACTAAGCGATTGCCGGTTATTGTATTACTAGAAGATGATGTTCCATTATTTGGGTTGCCGTGGAGTGTAGCTTTCAATCTTAATTTGCCTAGGGAAGTAAGGGTTAGGCGTATTGACAATGGAAAGACAAATAGTAAAGAGACAGGTAAGAATGAAGAAAGTGTTAGAAAAACGTTACAAAAAGAAGTTGAGGCATTAACTCAGGAGTTTTCAGAACTCTTTCGTGATGAGCTAGGAACGATATCTGACTCTAATGAAGTTATTCATCTAAAAAGTGGAACAAAACCTGTATCTTTCGGGGCACGACGAGTTCCATTTCCCTTAAGGGAGGCAGTGGAGCGAGAATTACAGCGATTAGTACAGGAAGGAGTTTTGGAAGCAGTGGACCCTTCCGAAACACCGATAGAATGGAGTACCCCAACAGTCAACGTAGATAAGGGTGGAGGTAGAGTCAGGATCTGTGGCGATTTTCGTACAACCTTGAATCCAAACATCGTTCCGGAAAGACACCTCTTGCCAACCTTTGATGACTTGACTTCCAAATTAACTGACGGAAAGATATTTTCAGTCATAGATCTTCGAGACGCGTACTTGCAAATGAAAGTACACCCTGAGTCACAAAAGTACCTTACAATAGCAACTCATGTAGGCTACTTTCGCTACAAAAGGTTGCCTTTTGGTCTTTCCTCGAGTCCGGCAAAATTTCAAAGGTACATGGAAAGTTTACTAAAAGGACTTAATGTCGGAGTTCTACTTGATGATATAATCATTTCTAGTAAGGATAAGACCACCCATATAACCACTCTTAGAGAAGTTTTGAGGCGGCTAGAATCAAGTGGAATAAGAGCAAAACTGTCAAAATGTAAGTTTTTTGAGAAATCTGTAAAGTATTTAGGCCATACAATAGATGGGAATGGTATTCATCCCTCCGAAGACAAAGTTGAAACCATAAGACACGCACCAAGGCCAAGAAACGTGAAAGAATTACGAGCTTTTCTAGGGGCGCTAAATTTTTACAAAAGGTATATACCTAATCTTCATGCGATCGCTTCGAACTTGCATAAGCTGACTGGTACGAAGACTAAATGGAAATGGACTGACACAGAACAAAGTACGTTCGACAAGTTGAAGAATATCCTGTCATTGGAGAAGACATTAGTTCCATACGACATATCAAAGCCGATCATTGTTGAATGTGATGCTTGTGAACAAGGGGTTGGCACAGTGCTGTTACATTTGATGCCGGATGGAACGGAAAGGCCAGTAATGTACGCCTCAAGGACACTAATGGAAGCAGAAAAAAGGTATGCTACAGTTGACAAGGAAGCACTGGCGTTAGTTTTTGCCGTGAAGAAGTTTAGACAATACCTCAGTGGAAGACATTTCAAGGTGAGAACGGACCACAAGCCACTTGAAAGAATATTTGGAATGCATCGAGATCTTACCAAAGTAGTTAACAACCGTTTGGTCCGTTGGGCTTTGTATTTAATGGAGTATGATTTTGAGATCCAGTACATCAAGGGACAGGATAATTGTTTGGCTGATTTTTTATCTCGGTTTTCACTCAAGACACAAGAAGTATTGGATCCAGATGAGAGAGAGATTCGAGCATTAGTTCAGGAGAAAATTGACGTAGTTTATCCAAATCATGAACTTGTACTGGAGTATAAGAAAGATCCAAATATGAAGAAACTTATAGACTACCTGGAACATGGTTGGCCAAAAGATACAGGAAACTTACCACCATCCATGAAACCATATTGGAATAAGAGAGAAGAGCTGACATTAGAAAACGGCATAATCATGCGATTAGGAAGAATTGTGGTGCCACAGATTTTGAGGGAAAATGTATTGAAAGAACTCCACAAAGGACATCCTGGAATAGAGGCCATGAGATCCCTATCAAGGTATTATGTTTGGTGGCCTAATCTGAATAAGGATGTTGAGGTTTATGTCCGTAGATGCCACCCTTGCCAGAGTAACCGATCATTTGACACAGAAGTACCTCTATATCCTTGGAATGTGCCAAGTGATCCTTGGGAGCGAATTCATATTGACTTCGCAGGTCCATTCGACAACCGATTCTGGTTAGTAGGAATCGATGCGTACTCAAAATGGGTTGAGATCGAAGTTATGGACCGTACGACAACTGCTGCTCTTGTAAATAGATTAAGGACTTGGTTTTCGAGGTATGGTGTTCCTAAAAAAATTGTATCGGATAATGGCACCCCCTTCACATCTCATGAGTTTAAGAGTTTTTGTAAGGACAATAACATATGTCATGTTACATCTGCGCCGTATCATCCAAAAACCAATGGTTTAGTGGAGAGGATTATCAGAACCTTCAAGAGTCGATATAGTGCTTGCAAACAAGAAGGTCTCAGTTCATCACTTGCACTTTTACAAGTGTTGCTTGCTTATCGAAATACCCCACAAAAGACCACAGGACAACCACCATCAGTCCTTTTCTATGGTAGAAGATTACCAACAGCTTTGGATAGGTGGAGGTATAATAGCAGAGAGAGAATAGAAAATCAAGTGTGGCGACAGAAGTACTACCACGACTTAAAATCCAAACAAAAGGAGTTTTCTGCTAAACAAGAAGTGTGGGTTCAAAATGAAACGAAGAAGGGCTGGAGACCAGGAACAGTACAAGAAAGGACGGGAGAGCTATCATACACCGTTTTAGTAGGGGGAGATATAAAGAGAAAACACGCTGACCAGCTGAGAGCAAGAGAAGGTGCAACTGATCCACCTCAATGGAAAATGCAAATGGAACCTGAAAATGATGATGTACATAGTTTCGGAAACTCAGCCTAAATTGAGTGGGGAGAAATGTAGGATTATTATTATCAGCCGAGTTATAAAGTTATGAATCATCTGCCATTTGGTTTGTTTACATTATGTTTTGTTCTCGAAAATAAATAGTATTGATTTAGTTTACTTAAAATGAGTTTTAATAATTAATTATTCTATAACGTAAATTTAAAGAAGCAAATTATCTCAAACCGTGTCCTCCCCCATTGCAAACGCCAGGTGAAAATTTCCATCATAATAAATTGAAATTCCCCTGAAACTTACATAATAAAAGTCAAAATTAATTGTAAATAAAGCGTGAGTTTCCTTTACATTGCTTTTTAATCTAAATAAACTATACCGAACCATGGCTCGGTCTTAAGGTACTGTACTGATTTAAAAAAGAAGAAATTTAGCACTTAAGGTGACTTATTATTTGTTAGTAAGGTAGTATTGACAAGTCCTATGTTTGTATATGTCCTTATCAAAATTTTTTTAACTTTATATGACGAATAAAAATGTTATTTCATAAGGATTAACATGGTAGAAAACTTTCAGTAAAACACATAGACAAATTAGGTCCCCGACACTGTCCGCAACATTGTTAGAGTGGAAACAAACGAAAAATTGCTGTGGGTCAACACTGTTGCCGAAAATTCGTGTTTCGGAGTTGAAATAGCAAAAATGTTAGCAACTGTGGAAAACTCTAGTTTGCGCACGCCCATGGAGTACATGAAGTCGTCCCAGCCATGCACCAGTTATAGTAGTTGATTGTTTCACAATTATGATTGAATTGTATTTTCTTTTTCATGCTTTATGAAAATAAAAAAGAACATACTCTAACTATGGCTGATTGCGCCATTTTTTATCATCACATAAGCCTCTGCTAAAATAACTAACGCTGCACTGAGTTCTTGTATAACCCCATCCATCTTCATGTGTGATTAGCACCAGAATAAAACCACAATTTGCTTATTATGGTGCTGATTAGAAACAGTAAAAAAGGCTTGAAACAAAGTTGGCTAAATTGTTGCCTTATGTCAGGTTTACTTTATACCAGGAAACAAGGTGTTTTTGGTCTCACATTTTTGTTGGTGACGACTTCAGCAGTCAAAACCTGACTTAACCAATAGAAAAAATTACAAATGTTAAATGCTAAATACAATGTCTTTTTCACAGCTAATTTGAACTGTAACATCATTTTAAAATATTGTTTTTTAACTTTCAGGGAGAATTTGACCTACGTTTTTATAGTCAGAGGTCAGATTGAGCTGGTATGCAGATTCATTCAAAAATATTCGTTCTTACACGTACACGTTTGATCATAATTTCAACAATTTCAACAAAAAAGGTACAGATGTCTTAGTCATACGATGATAACTATGGCAGTTAAAGAATATAGTACACTGTATAGTTTAATTTTACAATAGACGCTATAGAATTATATCTGCCAATGATGAAGAATTTAAGTAAGCTACTTTCCCATGGGTAATTTTTTTTTACTACACTAACATTTTGCACATTTCAGTGAATTTCCTGTGATAACAATTTATTAGTATTTAATTTATTAAATGTATAAGGTTTTTAATTAATACAGCATTAGTAGGCTTATAAACACCATTACAGTCTGATAAAATAAGAAGAAGAGAAAGTGATGAACAAGATATATTAAAGATTTTAAAATGATTACCTCCAAACATGACTTCAAACAATGCATTTTTGTTCAGTAAAAATATATTTTTGAACACTTCATAAAGGTAATGAAGTCCTTCAGCATTGTCAAGATCTTCGCACATATGAAACAGGCCAAGCAGTTTGCGAATATAGCAGTCATTTTCAAGTGCAGCAGCAAGTTTCTCTTTCCGTAGTGGAGACGATAAACAACTGGCTATCAGTTCACTGATCTCTTCCAGTCGACCGATCTCACAGGGCGGCAGTTCAATGGGAGGAGCTGAATCCGACATATCATCAAATCTCTCATCTTCTGACTCCTCCACAATATCCTGTGTGATCTCCACTGAGGGGTCCTTCCCTTGAACCTGCCATTGAAAAAAATATAAAAAATTTAAAAACCTGAAAAACTTTCTAAACAGTCGCATTTGTAAAAAAAAGCTGTTTGTTTGAAATAAAACAAGACTATCATTATTTTTCACTTTGGCAAATTAGTTATTATGATAAGCATACTACAGATTACAAGCACAAATTGAGGTATACAATAGAAGTAATCCAGTCAATTACAAACCATACTAACAATAAAAATAACTAGATTCCAGATCTTTGATATACTTAGTCTAATATCAATAAATATTTTTATATTTTATATTTTTATTTATCCAGAAGTTTCATGTAATATACCGTAACTAGGCTGAGTGCAAGCAGTATAAATGATCTATGACCAGCAGCAAGAACCAATGAGAGGAGGAAGTAATCTAGTTGTTGATGTATGAGATTCAATTAAAGCATCACTATTAAAAAATTTAAGATTTAAATTAATTTAATTATAATTTTTTATTTGTATTTTTTATTCTTACCTGACAAATCTTTTCCCAGATCTCATCGCAACCAGCCTTTTCTTGGAAACTAAGGGCTAAATCAAAATTATCACCCTCTGACCAAACAATGAGAGTGTCCTAAAACAAATAGTAAAATATTTTATTATTTTATTTTATCAACATAAATTAAATTTAGCTAGTATAAAGAAATATTTCAACTTACAACTACACTCTATCTCAGCTTTGTGTCAGGTTACCTAGCTTTCAGTATAAATTAGCCTGTCTCTGTACATAAAAAAACTCGCCTTTGGCTCGCTGGGGGCTCTGCCCCCAGGCCCCCTAGCTGTTAGTCGTCGTTTAAAAAATTTGGGAAGGGGTGAGTGGCCATCACCAAGAAGCCGGGGAAATTTCAAGTCACCTAAAAGAGATAGCACTCTCAGCATTTCTCAAGTCCCTGTCAAATTTGAAGCAATAATGGTGGATTGCTATATATGTGAGGGGGAGTTAACATTTAAGGATAATGTTAGTTAATATTTAAAGATTTTAGAGTTTTGAAACTTAGGGGCGAAAATCTTGCTACATTGTGCCTGTCTATAATTATTTAGGCCAATGCACATTCAAAGTGTTTTATACAGAAATATTGGAGGGTTGGAGTAAGTAGTTTAAGAACTGTTGGGGGGGGGGGGGGTTGAATTATTTGACTTATTTTACGACAGTGTCTCAAAATAAAACAATTTCATACGTACGTTAGAGTGGCAATATTTAACCTCATTTTGATGCTGTTTTGAATAAAATAGTTAAGAGTGGTAAAACTCCCAATTTATGTTTGTTCCCTTTTACTTTCTCCCCCCCATACATATGGAGAAGTTATTGTTTTCGTCAAAATTTTTGAGTTTGAGTTTTGTGTGGATATATCAGTTTTTATAAAAACTGGTTTTGAAAAAAGTGGTGGATGTGTCTGAATGTATGTATGTGTACAGAGCTACAGACCATGAGTGTGGTTTGATTTTGATGAAATTTTGTTAAATTGTATGTACTAATCCATAGTATCTCTAGGGGTATTTCATTTTTTGAAAATTTTGATTTTTAAATGTGATTTTCCTATCAAAACCCATAAGTTCAAAGAAAAATCAAATTTTCTCAAAAATGGCCTCAACGATTTTGATACAACTTTAGTAAGCCAGCAGGCCTATGTTATAGCCCATTAAATTCTCAACAAAATGGTATTTACTTCCATTGCTGTAAATTAAGGTTCAAAAGTTACTGTAACTCATGTTATCTCCATATAAAAAAAACCCATGAAATAACGGAAAATCTGATTTTTGAAAAAAGCCGGTTTTGATTAAAATAAGTAGGTACCCTATGTTATGGTCCTAATAATTCTTAACAAATTACTAGTTAGTGCAACCCCATTGCTGTAAAAATTACAGTTCAAAAGTTTATTGCAACTTTAGATATTTTCGCTATAAAATATCATAATTAATCCCACCACTTACCCATGATGAATGTTGTTGACAAGCTAATAGGAGAATGTGGCAGATTGCTGAATCGTTTATTTTATGCAAGTTGCGAATTGAGCATGGACACTAAAAAAACTACTAATTATTTTGTACCTACTCTGTTCACAACATTTAGGCAGTTATAAGGGAAGAAATCTATCCCCTCCATTTGAACCTACATTTAAAAATAAAAGCTGAGGTTTGCAAAAACATTGCCTTAACAACTCAACGGCTGTTTGATCTTACCATAGACAAATAGAACAAATATAGACTGTCAAATAAAGCTTCCGGCGCCCACCGCTATGAGTGCCGTGTAGTTATGGCGCACACCACTGCAGGCAAGGAGCACAGGAGCCGTATGATACCAGCAGACGCTGCAGCAGAAAAGTCTGTCACGGCTCCTGCGCTCCTTGCCTGCAATGGTGTGCGCCATATCTACACGACACTCCTAGCGGTGGGCGCCATACATAAGCTTATCGCAGCACTGCTGTCGGTCTATATTCATTCTATTTGTCTATGATCTTACTAATATTTTAAATGGGAAGGTATGGATGTTTGTGTGTAACTTTGAAGTTTCATCACGTGAAAACTACTGGCCTGATTGAGCTGACATTTCACAGAGAGGCACTTTATAGTGTTATAGCATACCGTAAATTTAAAGAACCAAATTTTCTCAAACAGTGTCTCCTCCCCTAATGCAAATGCAGAGCACAAGTATAACTCCAATAAGCATTTTATACTTATACGCCAACCAAGTACGAAGGACGGTTACTCTGCTAGTAACCTAATAAAATAAATACCATGAACTCACTTGTTGTTTTTGATAAGCTGTGTCAGGTTGGATCTTGGACTCCAATAGAAGGGATCCTGGAAAAGAAAATCATTACCACCCAACAAGAAAAAATAAGTCTTTGACCAACTTACATGAAATTGTGACTATAGTAGATCCCAGGTTAACCGATATAAAGGGGGGAGAGCCATTTCGGATAGCCAATTTTTCGGGTAGTGATGTGTGCCGGGAATATTCCCAGTGGGAGGGAACTTATAAAATGGGAATATTGCCGGGAATATTTCTTTGGTCCAAAACTGGGAATATTCCCAAAAATTGTGAATTCATGAAAATTTTAAAATTCTGAACGGTTTAACATATATTGACAGTTAAAGAACCTTAAAACTACATTACCTATAGTAAATTCTTACATTTAAATCTAAGAGTTGTCATTCCATGTACATTCCTGTAAAAAAATTTTGAAATTTATGAAACTGAATGGATTTTAATTATTGCATTCCAAAAAAAGAAACAGACTTTTTTATCTGAGCGAGCAGAAAAACTGACAGTTCTTTCTTACAACTGGAAACTCAGGAATGCTCAACCTCTAAGAGAGAGTTTAAGCAAGCAGAAGGCAACCCAGAGGAAACAGGACAGGAAGAAAATGAAGACATCCTGTCCCTTCTCACAATCGAAGAAGGGGATGAGGATGAGATTGACTTGACAAGTAATAATGAAGACGATTTTTGTGGATTTGGAGATGTAGATGACGAGAAGGACGAAGGAAATATAATTGACATAGAAAGTGACAGTGACTAGGAAACATAAAAAAAAATAATACGGAAAGCAAATATGTCATTTCAGTATTTCCCATCTAACCTTTTCGTTTTTAATATGTAGTCTTGATTTAATACACTAAATTAAATTTTTTTTCTAACAATATTTTTATTTCCTGTATATTTACTAGGTTATGTTTGTTTCTGATTATCTATATATACTTATTTAATACGCTAGCAGGTTTTTTGTGACAATTAGGCCCACTCCTCTGAAACTACTGAACCGATTGATATGTTTTTGGTGGAAAGAGCGTAACGTGAAGTTGGGCAGGAAACTTTTTTTAGGGAAATAATTAGAAAGTGAGGCCCTGGGGCCCTTTAAAGTTTCGTATTCCTCCACAAGATTAAAATGGAAGGTCATGACTGCGATGCGGAAGAAGGTCGGCCTTAAATAAAATGAATAAATGTGCCAAGTTTGATTAAAATATGTCCATAAAACAAGCAAACTACAACATTTTACAATATTCTCCATAAGAATATCACGGGAATTTTAAATTTGCTATTTTTTGAATTTTCTCAATAAACAATAACCGTACAAAAACATTTTGGTATACTAAATTATTTGTTTTTTAGTACTTTAAAATGGTCTAGAGATAAATTTGGAAATTTTGTGTTTTGAGGGTAAAAAATAAGAAAACCATTTTTTACCCCATAAAACCCTGTTCCCATGGTCCGATCATGCTGGTTTGCTAACTCATTTAAGTTTATCCCGCCATACATCCTCAAACCAAATTTAATTAAAATTGGAGAAAAATTACTCATGTTATCACGTTCACTGACATATATAGGCTACATATGTCTGCCATATATACATGCCATTTACGGACATAAAAATTTGAACAAACAGTGATTTTGGCCTCTAAGGACACCAAAACGAAAAAGTATATCGGTCCCGGCTCCAGGTCTCATCATATTATGTGCTCGTTGGTCTTACCTTGCCAACTACGGTAAAGGCCAAGTCACACCGAGCTCGCTCCCGCGGCGGGAGCGGATTTTGAAAAATCGCTCACCATGTTATCAAATGTGCCAAGTCACACCGCACTACCGCGCGCCCGCGGGCGTGCGGTAGTGTCCGCCACGTCCGCCTGCTGAGCGATTTTTTGAGACTACCGCGGCAGGAGTTTTGTCTAGCGCATGCGCAAAGGGGCATTTCGAATGCCCAAGCTATTAAAAGTTTAATAGTAATACAGTTTAATAAAATTTTAAATTAAATTTAACATGTTTCTTTTGTTTGATGATGTAGTCTATGTTGTTTTGTATTATCTTCGTAATTATGTTTATCATCAGAAAAAAATCATTTTTGTTTACCATGCAAAAATAATGTTTACGGTGAAAATTTAATGTTTCCCATAAACATTTTTATATTGCCGACGTGAACAATTTTTTTTATTGTTTCATCAACTTTTTCGATTTGCAACAACCAAAACTTTACAATCAATGTAAACTTGAACTTTCAATAAAAGGCTTAGCAAAAAATTACATTAGTTTTAAAATGAACATATTTTTTTATTTAAAAAGTAAATAGTCTTTGTAGTGTAGCGAAAAATAACGTTCAAAAGCTGAAAGTGGATAATTTATCCACAACCATATTTAAAATGCTTCGAACACAAGGTCTAAGTTAAATTTAGTTATTAACTTTTTAAAGTTAATGTCCTACACTAACAAATTAATAAACATTCAATTGCTTCTTAAACACTTGACTTAAAACCTGCAAATTTACATGGCATACTAAACAGGTAAGATGAGTTTCTTTTGTAAAACGAATTGTAATGAACTCATCATCTCAAAACTCCCGCCGCGGACCCGAACTTTTGGTGTGACATGGCTCGAGGAAAAACATCCGCGCGCGGTACTCCCGCGGCGGGAGCGGCGGATGTCGGTGTGACATGGCCTTAATAGCTACTTCCCTATAGGGAAATTCGCTAAATGAAAACTGAATTAACACTGTGCTGCATTTCTTAGTAATAATTGAAAGAGCCGATTTGCAAACTATGGAAACGTAGGAAAGTCATAGAACACCACAAAGGAGAAGAAATAGAAATAATGATTTTTAAGAATTTATAATCATTATTATGGACAACCTAATGCGACTATTTGTAAGGCTATTTGTAGAAAACACTAAAAAACAAGATAAGCTTTTGAAAAATGATAAGATATTTACAAGAAATGTTGATTATATCAATATGTTATACAGATCTTGAGTATTTCCATAATTCTTGAGGCGAATATTTTAAAGTCATCAGAAATTATGACTTTTATTTGTTTTAAAACAACACCTGTAATACTTAGCAACAGCTTGAATTCGAGCAACAAGTACACTAGTTGTATTAAATCAACATTTTTTGAAAATAGATTGTTTGTGTTTTATTTAAAACAAACTACCACAGTGACCGATTTGAGCAATTTAGCTCATAAAATTATAAATTCCCAGTTATTTATTTCAATTAAAACTTTGTATTATAATATATTTCAGTTTTTGTGGTTGAATATTGCCGGCAATATTCACTGGGAATATTTCCTCGATATTAAATTCCCGGGAATTTTACATCACTACTTTCGGGTAACCCGTCATTATGCTAAAAATAATCAATGAATCACCACAGTGTGTAGGAAAAATGAATTTTAGAGAATCTATATATATAATACGCTAAGCCCATTTTTGTGAACAGAACTCCTCCCTCATCTTTGGACCGATTTTGATGATCTAAGTGTCAAAAGAATGGCCCTGATCTGTAGTTTTGCAAAGTCTTTTTATTTTTTTGAAATCTTTATTAGTTCAGGCTGGATCTTCCATCAAAGTTGGGTTTTCTCCCATAAGATTAACATGGAGGAATCTAAATATTTAATTGGAAACTTTGTCTCCACTAATTTAAGAGAACGACTAGGCGTAAAAACTTGGTAGAGGTGTCCAAAGAAAGGTCTTGGTCTGTAGATGAGTTACCAAAAGAAAAACAAAGTAAATTCCCTTTAGGGCTCTGCCCCAGAAGCCTTTAAAAGATCCCTCTACAGATTTGTTTATATTTTGGCCATGTGAATAATACTTTTTAATTAAACAGATGTTAATTTTTAAATCTATCTATCTATATATTAATAGGCAAGCATGTTTCTTTAAAACCTTTTTTCTCAGCTCGTGTGCATTGCAGGGAAAATATACGCATACTGTTGGAAAGATATTTTCCTGTAGATGTGCAGAATGCTTTTAAAAATTAAAATAGGCTAACAAATAAGAACAAAAAATGAATTTGAAAACTTCAAAAAATTAACATGGACCATATGGGTTGCCATGATGGTGACGAAATAACAACAAAATGTAAACAGAAAATCAAAACAAATGGAAGAAATTCCAATCACATGTTTTATTTACAGTGTGGGGAGAAAATAGAGAAGTCTGTACATTAATTATTTTTGGTCGAGTTTCGACCACAGGACGACCTCTCGTACTTATTTAATACGCAAGCAGATTTTTTGTGACAATTACTCCTCCGAAACTACTGAACCGATCGTCATGTTTTTGGTGTCATTGGAAAGAGCGTAACGTGAAGTTGTGCAGGAAACTTTCTGTTTAGGGAAATAATGAGAGAGTGAGGCCATGGAGCCCTTTAAAGTTTCGTATTTCTCCATAAGATTAACATTGGAGACACAAATTGTTATGAAACTCCAGCTGTAGTCAGAAATCAAAAGTGAGAAGAAGAGCATATGTTAATTGTAAACAGTCAATAAGTTTGCTAATTTAACAGTTTGCTGAAAACTTGCTGACTTGGTTGAAATTCGTTTTAAAATAACGCCTGTAATACTCAGCAATTGCTCGAATTCGAGCAACAGGGACACTAGTTATATTTTAAACAACACACATTTATTGAGAGTTACTGAATTGTCCAAAGGAAGTATTTGCAATGTTATTTTCTTGAACTCTTAGAGAGCCTTGAATGTTATTAGACTAAAAAAAAAATGGTTGTGCATGGTTATTAGCGCAACAAAAACAATTTAATTTATCTGTAAAAAATATATTCTTAAAGTGCACTGAGCAGCAGCCTAAAAAATACTATGTAACTTCCTCATAGTTACAATATGCTCAAACTTGCATTGTGACATGAGTCCAGGAGCTGAGGGGGTTTGAGCATGCATGAAAGTAGTACGCAATGTTATTGCTGATTATTGTAATATGGACTGTGGTGATCAAAATTATGTATGTCGCCTATTTCAAAAGTGGTTGATAAGGTGGGGGGAGAGGGCAAACATGGCGGTTTGCGCTATATGTTAAA